TCAAAGTATGTCTAGAGGTGGGGGTGATTAGACTACTTACCAAATAAAAATGATCATTTTCCCAATTTTAGTTGTAGGCAAGTTTTAGCAATTCTACCAATTCAAGTACACCATACACATGCAAGTCTAAGAGTTGAGCAGCGGAAAGTGAAGACTTTGCATGTGAACGTAAAAGGAGGGATCCGATGTTTACTGCGCAACTTTATTCTTGTAGACACGTGCTGGACCTCCAAGCGTAGAGTTTTGTAGGACAGTAGCAATTTTCCCTCAAGTGGATGACCTAAGGTTTATCAATCCGTGGGAGGCGTAGGATGAAGATAGTCTCTCTCAAACGACCCTACAACCAAATAATAAAAAGTCTCTTGTGTCTCCAACACACCAAATACAATGGTAATTTGTATAGGTGCACTAGTTCGACGAAGAGATGGTGATAGAAGTGTAATATGGATAGTAGATATTGATTTTTGTAATAAGAACAATAAAAAATAGCAAGGTAGTAATTGATAAAATGGAGCACAAACGGTATTGCAATGCTTGAAAATGAGGCATAGGATCTGTACTTTCACTAGTGAAATCTCTCAACAATGCTAATATAATTGGATCATATAATCATCCCTCGACGTGCGATGAAGAATCACTCCAAAGTTCCTATCTAGCAGAGAACATAAGAAGAAATCATTTGTAGGGTATGAAACCACCTCAAAGCTATTCTTTCCGATCGATCTATCCAAGAGTTCATACTAAAATAACACCAAATAATTTCAGATTTATAATACTCAATCCAACACAAAAAACCTCAAAGTGTGCCCCAAGATTTCTACCAGAGAAACAAAGACAAGAACGTGCATCAACCCCTATGCATAGATTACCCCAATGTCACCTCGGGAATCCGCGAGTTGAGTGCCAAAATATATATCAAGTGAATCAATATGATACCCCATTGTCACCACGAGTATTCATAGCAAGACATACATCAAGTGTTCACAAATCCATAAAAGTATTCAATCCGATAAAATGAAATCTCAAAGGGAAAACTCAATTCACAACAAGATAGAGAGGGGAAAACACCATATGATCTGACTATATTAACAAAGCCCACGATACATCAAGATCGTGACATCTCAAGAACACGAGAGAGAGAGAGAGAGAGATTAAACACATAGCTACTAGTACAAACCCTTAGCTCCGAGGGTGGACTACTCCCTCCTCATCGTGGTGGCCGCCGGGATGATGTAGATGGCCGCTGGTGATGATTCCCCCCTCTAACAGGGTGCCGGAACGCGGTCTAGATTGGTTTCTCGTGGCTACAGAGCCTTGCGGCGGTAGAACTTCTGACCTCGGGTTCTCCCCAAGGGTTTTTGGAATATTTGGGAATTTATAGGGCAAAGAGGTGGTGCGTGAGGCCACCGAGGTGGGCACAACCCACCTGGGCACGCCTGGGGGCCCAGGCACGCCCTGGTGGGTTGTGCCCCCCTCGGGGCACCCCCAGGTGCTTCTCTGGCCCACTGGATGTCTTCTAGTCCAAAAAAATCCACAAAAAGTTTCACGGTGTTTGGACTCCGTTTGATATTGATTTTCTACGATGTAAAAAACAAGCAAAAAACAACAACTGGCACTGAGCACTGGATCAATAGGGTAGTCCCCAAAAATGATATAAAGTTGCTATAAAATGATTGTAAAACATCCAAGAATGATAATATAACAGCATGAATACTTCATAAATTATAGATACGTTGGAGACGTATCAGGATCGGAGAAATAAAATGCAATGAAGACACCATGATTTTTGCTGTGGTTCCGATAGATGGTGCTATCATACATCCACATTGAGGGAGACTTCAACCCACCGGGGGGTAACGGTTGCGCGAGTCCACAGAGGGCTCCATCCATGAAGTGTCCACAAAGAAGCAACCTTGTCTATCCCATCATGTCTTACGCCCACGAAGGACTAGCCTCACTTGGGTAGATCTTCATGAAGTAGGCGATCTCCTTGCCATCACAAACTCCTCAGTTCAACTCCACAATCTCTTGGAGGCTCCCAAGTGACACCTAACCAATCTAGGAGACACCACTCTCCAAAAGGTAATAGATGGTGTTATTGATGATGAAGTCCTTGCTCTTGTGCTTCAAATGATGGTCTCCCCGACACTCAATCACTCTTAAACAGATTTGGCTTTGGTAGGAGAGGGGATTGAATGGAAAGAAACTTGGGAAAGGCTAGAAATCAAAGTTCAAATGGTAGGATTGGAATATCTTGATCTCAACACATGAGTAGGTGGTTCTCTCTCAAAAAATGAGAGTGGAAGTAGTGTTTCGTTCTGATGGCTCTCTTAGAGAGTAAGTGGGGGTTGAGGGGTATATATAGCCTTCACCCAAAAATCCAACTATTACAAGCCTTTGACCCAACTCGATGACACCAGTCCAAAATCTCAATGAGAACAGCTAGTGCAAAATATTCGAATGTGGGAAGTCTCGGTGAGACCGAAGTAGAATATCTCGGAGCGACCGAAGTGCAATGGCTAGGGCAAGACCTCGTTTAGGTAGTTTCGATCATTTCATTTCGGTAATTCCGAAATGAAGCAACTTCATCATAGAAACTTGGCCACACCATCTCGGTGAGACCGAGATCCATATCAGTGGAACTGAAATGCTAGGTTTTGGCTTAGGCAGTGTGTGTGATCGATGAGTCCGGGGTAGGAAATTTTGGTGGGACCGAGATGATACTTTAGGGTTTTGGACAAATATGATGTAGAGAAGTGTTTAAGGATTTTTGGAGCAATATCACTAAGCACTTGAGCAATTGAGTCATGATCAAAACCTCATCCCCTTTAGATAGTATTGGCTTTCCTATGGACTCAATGTGATCTTGGATCACTTAACCAAAAATGAAGAGTTTTGTAGCTTTTCCAATTCTTGTCCTTAGCATTTTGAGGGGTTCACAATTACTAGTCCTTGCCATGCCACTCATTGATCTTCTCTAAAATCTATTATCAATGAGCATTAGATGAATGGCTTATATGGTGTTATTAATTATCAAAACCACCCGGGGATTAGTTGCACTTTCACATATGGCATTGCACAAAAATCTATGGAAGGACATAGTTTCATCGTTTTTATTGGAATATAAGAGCAATTTCTATTAATTTTAATCAAGAAAAGCATCAGATAAAACACGGCAAACATACTAGACTTGATAATTGGACCATAAGTAGTGCGTATAAACTGGGCATGCAAATTGGATAAGGAAAATATAGCACGTCCATCTCTATTGACATTAGTAAGACACTAAAAGCGACCCTGGCAATAGGGATACGAATACGTATGAAACATATGATGAAGAAGTGTCATTGCACAACCACGTGAACACCCCACAAAGGACGTTACCATCCCTCTCCCATGGATGCTCTCGAGGGAGACGGTTCCAGAGGTCTGCTCTTTCTCATTGTGCATGTCGAGAAGCGGGATGTGAATGATCTAGAGGCAGTGCAAGCTCTAGAATGTAACATGCAATTATGTGTGGTTTGTATTTGTCTAGGACCCTAACGATCCTAATATAGAATTTAAACGATGATCACTAAGTTTCCTCCATACCAACTTTTATCATGCTAAAAAGGATAAACGTCCATAGGTCCTAGTATGGCTCGACTCGTTCACAAAACATGACACACATGTTTGCATGAGGCAAGACCAGCGTCAGAGGTGGAGCGTGTGTATGTGCCCCCTTCTCAAGTTTCTAGTGATGTATAGAAGATGAAACCTTATATATTGGTCTAACTCACCCTCCACTAAGGGTGTGGGACTAAATTTTCACACCTCATGTCACCCATGAATGGGCCAATTGGGTCTCTATGATTTATTTTAGAAATTATATGATTTATGGGCCTAGCCCATATACCCAGGATTTGCTATTAATGCAATTTATGTTTAGCTTTTGAAAATGGACATGGTAACAATGGTAAGGTTTTATTTCCGAAGAAAAAGGAATGCGATTAATTTGATTTTGTTTTTAGCAAGAAACAGAAACCGCTTGAGCTGTCAATGGATCGATAAAGAGCACAGCTGGCCGTGCACTGTTTACATGCTATACTTGGAACCAAGTTATTGTCGAGTCATATGGTACCAGAAACATCGTCGGTGTATTGTAGTCTACATACAACTGTGTCTGCACGGGGTCGGTATAGGTACCAGCTACTAATTTGGGTCTTTTTTATTTTTTTATGAAACACACAAACAAACTCATGTGTATTTCACAGATACAATAAACGAGAAGCATTTTGTGCTTTTAGGGGAGAAAATGAAAACAGAAACCGCTTAACCGACTGATTTTCTAGAGTGTCTGAACTAATAGATCTAGAGGGAAACACAACTGGACGTACAAAGTTTACATGCTACACTTGTGTGGAAGTTATTTTTCAGTCAAATGGTATCGGAGAACACCGCCGGTATGGTATACCCTGGTGTACGATACAACTGTGTATTGACCAGGACACGAGTAACAACTAATATCTTCATTTTTCACTCACATTTTTTCTTCTGAAACACGCAAACTCACGCGTATTTCTATCTGTTCCAAGAAACGAGAAATATGATTGCGCTTTTGGGGGAGAAAAATGAAAACCATTGACCGCGTGAATTACTAAATGACCGAATAGATCCAGAGGAAGCATAACAACGCGCGTTTACATGCTATACTTGGAACAAAGTTATTTCGGTATAGGTACCAGCCCGTATGTTACTACATGTGTAGTGTTTTATCGTGATCACACACGCGGTACACGGCAAATAGCCGGCACACGAGTCTCGCCACCCTGTCGCGCCTCTGCTCGCCCCATGGGCCCATCCACAGCTTTTGACCACGCGGCGACAGCGGCTGGCCTCTCTCCCCCAGTCCTCCTCACCCTCCCACGGGCCTTTAAATACCCCCAACAACCTGCCCGATCGCAAGCGCACACAAATGCAAAACCCAAGCGCAAAGAAAACCCCTACTCCCCTAGCTAGCCATGGAAAGCGTCGAGCACCACGACGAAGCCGCCACCGGCCTCTCCCTTTCCCCTCCCCCTACGTCGGCGCCGCTCTCCCCACCGATATCCCCCAACTCCGCGGCGGTGGCGGCGCTGGCGAACGCGCGCTGGGTCCCTACCAGGGAGCAGATCGCGGTGTTGGAGGGGCTGTACCGCCAGGGGATGCGCACCCCCACCGCCGAGGAGATACATCAGGTGACGGCGAGGCTGCAGGAGCACGGCCCCATCGAGGGCAAGAACGTCTTCTATTGGTTCCAAAACCGGCTGCGCCAGAAGCAGAAGCAGCAGCAGCAGCAGAGATCTGACTACTTCGCCAGGCAGATCCGCCGTCCCCAGCCGCTGCCCACGCTCCGCAGGACCCCCGGCAACTCCTTCTCCCCGGTCCAGCTGCAGGCGCCGCCAGCGCCGAACACTCCTGCATGCAACAGAGAAGGTACGTCCGCGCATAAACCCTCTCCATTTATGCGCTCAGCACGCCATTTAATTAAATCCGCTTTTGGCAATTGGCATGCACGTCTTGATTGATTAGCTCCCGAATGCGTCTGTGCGTTTCTTGGCTGGCTTTACGATTGGGGTTTCGTTGGAAAGGGTATGCATCTACGACTTTCCATTTGCAACCCCCGCGGCTTTCATGCGTCCGCACGGTAGTTGTACCATGTGTGGTGTGTTTTGTGCTGTTCCTCTTGCTCACGATGTGCGCGCATGCACATGTAAGAAAAAAAAAAAGAAACATCTGAAAAGAAAAATTTACACGTATCTTAATACAAGATCTCACGAATATAACATCGACTGAGACTTGGATTTAGCAAAACTGTTTTCTTAACTCCTGATGATACCAAAGCAGTTGGCCGCCAGTAGCGAGCGAGAGAGTTTAGGAGTTTCCGGCCACTGAACTCACCTGAACTGTCTTGTTCCTAACTACTCTGAAGTGGTCAGACCTCCAAAAAATGCCTCGGGCTGCCATCCCATAATGTAGGAAGACGAAAGCAATTTTGTGGGCCCCAAAATGGCATGATGCGTGTCAGCCGATCCAGCAACGAGTAGTGTGTATTTACCATTTTTTCAACTTGATTAAAATGAATTGAATTAATTTATATTCCTTCTGATTCGCCCATTTCATTGTGTTTCATCGATGCCAACTTTGTTCGTTATCAACAGAAATCGAGGAGGTGTTGGATATGGCTATGTTTGCATTGAGCGTAATTCTATGTGATTCTGCTTCTGTTATTTTGCCTAACCTTGAGCAAACTACCGGAAAGCACACAAAGGATACCCTTAATCCAAAATATGCCCTAAAGTTATGGTTGTACTAATGTGTTTTCCATTGGATCCATGTTTCTTTTTCTTGCAGGGATGTACATGCAGCAGCCATGTTACATGACAGGGCAAGCGGCACAAGCCTCGGTGAATGCAGCCTACTACTCGCAGATGCAGCCATCGCTAATGCACTCAAATTTAGAGACGATGGCGCATGGCAACATCCAGGCACAGGCACAAGCCGCCATGTACTTCCAGACAACAGCTTCAAACAACTCCAACACTCAACAACCGCGTGCGGTCCAGTTTCCTTCGACCAACAACAGCTACGGGGCTCCTGAGGCCTACTCCCGTCGTCCCGTGCTTCTGAATCTGTTCCCACAATACCCCACCTTCGCAAATCGCGAGAGGACCCTCCACACTGAGAGCGCCGGCTCCCCAAGGCCATCCACCTCAAGGTCGTTCTCTTTGGAGGCTGAGAGCTCGGAGGTCCCCAGCGGAGATGGCTCGAGATCGTTCTATGACTTCTTTGGTGAAGGCCACTGAACAAGCCACATGAATGTTGATATGCTCAACAAGAACCTTGTCCAAATCATCTAGGGTATCTCTCGATCTCATGACCATGCGATTGGGTGGATGTACCAATTGCCCTTTTGGGGATATTTATTAGCATTGTTGGTTTAATTCATCAACTAGGCAGAAAATGTATTTCTTCACAAACTTGAGGCGGTTATCAGAAATATGTTGTTAAATTTGATTGAATTAATCTAGTTGATTTTTTCATTGCAAGGTGCATGTTTCATTTTAGTTTTAACCTAGAGATGGGCGTGAAACAGTTACCAAGGTTCCCAAAAGATTTTGGGTATCACCCCTTTTTATTGGAATATCTGGTTTTTTGTTTTCTTTAATTGTCCTATTTGAAATGGATGTAATGTTTGTGTGGCTATCGATAGTGTGTTCTCACTTGAGCTAAAAATACCCATGGGCACACACAAATTATAACCGACCCAAACAAACACTTAGAGTAACATAGGGTAGTATATCATTTTCTTTTCTTTTGAGAAAAAGAGGAGTACTGCCTTTTTAGCTGAAAAGAGGAGTATCATCGAATTAGTTGTTCAAGTTCACGAAGTGTGGAACACACAAATATATCTAATGTAAACTTTGTAGACTAAACAAGTATTGAGCTCAAGCCCGCGCTCCGTTTGTGCCTAATATACCAAAGGTTTTAGGTTGTCAATAATATAAGACCAGTGACAGTTCCTTATAGAGATGAAAACAGAGCAAAAACTTGTCGTCCTTTCAAAAAATATGTGGAAATGTAGATAAGTTATGGAAACAGAACAAAATTTTATGGAATGGAAGTGGAAAATTTATCATGGAAATGGAAATAGAAACGAAACAACATTTTCTGATGGAATGCTAGCAGGAACGAAATTTCCATATATGTACATGAAGATTTTTTTTTGTATAGCCCACTCCACCCCCAATCTATAAAAACTTTTGGCTCAACTCAATCATGTCACCAAGTAAGATAATCCTTTTCCTATTCGCATAATATTTATGGTAAATATACCTTACGTTGCAAAATTTCGAAACTTATGCACAATACTATACATTAATATATATCAATGATAATATCTCTAGTTAAATTAGCAATTGAATTTCCTGGTTTGGTTGTATTTTTCTTGATGGTTTAGGAAGTTTCGAGTTCCTGTTAACTTTCACTTTGTCTTTTAGTTTGTCCTATATTGGTATTGTATTCTTTTTTCAAGTATCCTCTTTCATACTCATTTCTGAGATTTCTGATTCATTTTTATTGCTGCTAAAAAATATGTAAAAAGATATGGAATACTCATTTTCAACCGTTTTTGTTCCATTCTCATCCCTACTTTCAGAGAGCTCTTACCACAAAGACTCCTAGTGTTGTAGATGGAGCATATAACAACATAGGCCTCTTGAAGAGGAGTCTTCCATGCGAGTATGTAATGATGAAATACACCTATGGTGTGGTAACAATGGTTTCAGCAGACTACAATGACAACATTAGGGACCGCTTACCGCTTGTGCATAAATCGGTAACTGCTAACATTTTTCACGCTCTATATAGCTTGGCATCTCTCTTAGCGTATTTTTGCAAAAAACTTATGTTTAACCTTTATAGTGCTCTAACTTTTAGATGTACAATCTAGTTGTCCTTGGATTGAGTATAATTTTTGCATGCTTCTCGGTAGGTATGCTCACCTTGAGCTAAACCATGGGGAAGCACACACCAAATACCCCCAACCAAACATAGCCTAAAGATGTGTTAACACTAAGATGTTTTACATTGAATCCATGTTCCTTTTTCTTGGAGTGATTTAGAGGCACCAGCCATGCTACATGCATAGGCCGCGGCGAATGCAACCTACTAGAAGAGACACAACCAATGGTGATGTCTCACCACAACCACTAGCATCCACATACTTGACTACACCTCCGTTCAACGTAAGCACTCAACAACCATGCCCTATCCATTCCCCTCCTGCCATCATTAGATACGGGGTGCCTAATGCTTGCTCCTACTGCCCTTGACCCTAAATATGTCCCTACAACACCCTACCTTGGCGCAACGCAAGAATACGCGCCACGTCGATCAAGAGCACTAGTTCAAGGTTGTCGTCCACCTAGTGGTTGTTCCCTTTGGAGTAGGAGATCGAGCTCAAATAATCCTAATGGCTATGCCCCACTACGTACTATTTTTACTTCTTCTTCGAAGCCAACAGAAGATTATGTATGATTGCTGGTTTGATCAACTTTTCAAAATTTATCTAACCATTTAGGACATCTCCCAGTCTCATGACCACGCATATTGAGTGGATGTATTTTTTGCATTATCAAAACATTTTTAGTATGATGGTCATTTACTCATTTAATTGGAAGGCGGAACGTACCTCTTTTATCAACTTGTACCATGTATCACAAACTAGTTGTTAATTTCATTTGAGTAATCGAGTTAGAAAATAATTGCAAGGAGCATAGCCTATCTAAGATTTTGCTTGTTTCATCCTTTGATTCATTGACCTAGATTGTTCGGCTTGCGTACACATATGCGTGGAACACTGGCCAAGGTTTGCATATCACCATTTTTCATAGGAATGCATATTTTCTCCTTTTGGAATTGTTGTAATTTTTTCTGTGGCCTTCGGTACTTAGCTCTCACTTTAGAAAATTTTTGATGGCCAGAAAAGATTTAGAACCAATCCAAGCAACTCAATTGTGAAATTAAGAGTATTGCCTTTGATTTTCTTTTGAGAAATGGAGGCCTATTTCTCGACAATGGTTTAAGTTCACAAAGTGTGAAACACATAAATGTATCATGTGTAAACATTGTAGACTAGACATGTAGTGAGCTAAAGATCGCACTTCGATTGGGCCTAAAAATCTAAAGGTTTTAGGTCGTTGATAACATAAGAACACTAACACTTCCATGGTGCTCTTAGCGTTTCTACATAAACCACAAGGACACAGAACTGCCAAGGCTATTGATTTCTGGCCCCTACCTCGTGTTGGGTTTCGTAGTAATTTTAAAAAAAATTCTACGCACACGCAAGATCATGTGATGCATAGCAACGAGGGGAGAGTGTTGTCTACGTACCCAACGCAGACCGACTGCGGAAGCGATGACACGACGTAGAGGAAGCAGTCGTACGTCTTCACGATCCAACCGATCAAGCACCGAAACTACAGCACCTCCGAGTTCGAGCACACGTTCAGCTCGATGACGATCCCCGGACTCCGATCCAGCAAAGTGTCGGGGAAGAGTTCCGTCAGCACGACGGCGTGGTGACGATCTTGATGAACTACAGCAGCAGGGCTTCGCCTAAACTCCGCTACAGTATTATTGAGGAATATGGTGGCAGGGGGCACCGCACACGGCTAAGGGATCGATCACGTGGATCAACTTGTGTCAACTTGTGTGTTTAGAGGTGCCCCTGCCTCCGTATATAAAGGAGCCAAGGGGGGAGGGTGCGCCGGCCAAGGGGGAGAGGCGCAGGAGGAGTCCTACTCCTACCGGGAGTAGGACTCCCCCCCCCCCCAATCCTATTCCAACTAGGATTCCCAAGGGGGAAAGAGGGAGAGGGGTGGCCGGCCACCTCTCCTAGTCCTAATAGGACTAGGGGAAGGGGGGAGGCGCGCAGCCCCCTTGGGCTGCCCCTTTCTCCTTTCCACTAAGGCCCATGATGGCCCATATGGTTCCCGGGGGGTTCCGGTAACCTCCCGGTAACCCGGTAAAATCCCGATTTCACCCGGAACACTTCCGATGTCCAAACATAGACTTCCAATATATCAATCTTTATGTCTCGACCATTTCGAGACTCCTCGTCATGTCCGTGATCACATCCGGGACTCCGAACAACCTTCGGTACATCAAAATGCATAAACTCATAATATAACTGTCATCGTAACCTTAAGCGTGCGGACCCTACGGGTTCGAGAACAATGTAGACATGACTGAGACACGTCTCCGGTCAATAACCAATAGCGGGACCTGGATGCCCATATTGGCTCCTACATATTCTACGAAGATCTTTATCGGTCAGACCGCATAACAACATACGTTGTTCCCTTTGTCATCGGTATGTTACTTGCCCGAGATTCGATCGTCGGTATCCAATACCTAGTTCAATCTCGTTACCGGCAAGTCTCTTTACTCGTTCCGTAATACATCATCTCACAACTAACATATTAGTTGTAATGCTTGCAAGGCTTATGTGATGTGTATTACCGATAGGGCCCAGAGATACCTCTCCGACAATCGGAGTGACAAATCCTAATCTCGAAATACGCCAACCCAACATCGACCATTGGAGACACCTGTAGTACTCCTTTATAATCACCCAGTTACGTTGTGACGTTTGGTAGTACCCAAAGTGTTCCTCCGGTAAACGGGAGTTGCATAATCTCATAGTCATAGGAACATGTATAAGTCATGAAGAAAGCAATAGCAACATACTAAACGATCGGGTGCTAAGCTAATGGAATGGGTCATGTCAATCAGATCATTCTACTAATGATGTGACCTCGTTAATCAAATAACAACTCATTGTTCATGGTTAGGAAACATAACCATCTTTGATTAACGAGCTAGTCAAGTAGAGGCATACTAGTGACACTTAGTTTGTCTATGTATTCACACATGTATTATGTTTCCGGTAAATACAATTCTAGCATGAATAATAAACATTTATCATGATTATAAGGAAATAAATAATAACTTTATTATTGCCTCTAGGGCATATTTCCTTCACCTCGGACGTCGACGTCCTATCCAAGCTCACATCCACCTTTACATCGGTGTTCCATGAGGTCACATCTGCTCTGTGATACGTCTCTGTCATATCTACTTTTTCTAACGTTTTTCCTCTTGTTTTGGACTTTAATTTACATGGTTTGAATGAAATTAACCCGGACTGACAGTGTTTTCAGCAGAACTACCATGGTATTGTTTTTGTGCAGAAATAAAAGTTCTCGGAATGGAACAAAACTTTTTGGAGATTTTTTAT